TAAGGGCTGGCTGGCACTAGAAGCTTTCTTTGGGCCCAAGGTGGCTTATTTAGCAGTTACAAGCATAAAAAACCATGGGATAATACAAAATGTATCACATGTACGCATGGAATCATCCTCACTGACTTGTAAACAATGGCACACTGGCTGTACATGGAGTGGCCAGGCCGCTCAGGCCACACTGACACGTTCAGGACAAATGACTTTAACCAAGTTCTTTGTTGTTAACTGAGCCAATATTTTGATGCAAAAACGTGTCATTATCCGATTTTTACGTTATCCAATGACATTAACTGAGGGTCCATTGTATTTATACTCCAAAATTCTAGCAGCTTCAAATCAAGCAGGAGAAAGCTGGTAGGCCCTCATGTGAGAGAATGGGTCTGTGTGGTCAGTGTGCGCAGTATAAAAAAAATCTTGCAGCACACAGTGCATAATGAGAAAAAAAATAACTCCGAACGTGTTTTTGGATTAAAATGCCTACTTTGAGGTGTATTTTCATATAGTATTTATAGGTGTATTCTCATTTTCTTGGTCTCAATTGACAGACTGGAAGACATATTACAGAAATTGAGATGATTTTGATTGGTTTCACGATGAAAAGGGTGTTTGGCTTCATGCCTGCTTATACAGACACACCTTTGTCACAGGTTGAACATTGCAGAATTATGGGGAGCAAGAGCATTCATACCTATATAGTGACTTTTTTCTGTTTCCTGTATGATGAATAACTGCCATAAACATAGCAATGCTGTATGACCCTGGTGGGTTTAGCGATAAGTTCTTATTGTAATAATGGCATCAGCATATTTGGGTTTAGGCTGTATGAATTGTTTTATTTTCTTGTGAAAATGTTTGTGGGTTAAAATCTTTAATTATTAGAATTGTCTAAAACTGAACAACAGAATGCTCTAATGGGAATAAAATTTTGCTTATATGTACCAAATAGGAATTTTTCGGCAAAATTCGTTGGTAATTTTAAAAAAAGTAAGAATTGTGGTTAATAAGTTTAACGTTTTGATGTTTAATTAATATGCTACCCATGATGCAACAGTTAATAAATTACTAAGATGTTTTTTGAATGAATGTGATGTTTGTAGTTACAGTAATACCTCGGTTTTTGTTTTTAATCCGTTCCAGAAGGTCGACCGAAATCCGGAAAGGACGAAAACTGAAGTAATATTTCCCATAAGAAATAAATATAAATACAATTAATCCATTCCAGACACCCAAAAATATTAACAAAAAATACATTTTATAGAGTAACTATAATTTTACATATAGAAAATAATGAGAAATAAATAAAAACACTAATTTTAATGGATAAATTAACATTTAACCCTTAAACTGTCCAAACGTAGATCTACGTTTTTTTACTTCTTTCTTATGGGGAAAATCAAGGTCAGAGCACTACGCGTGAAAACGTAGATCTACGTTTGGACAATTTAAGGGTTAAATCACCATTTCATACCTTTATTGAAGACTTGTTGGCATACAGAAGAAGGCAAGGAGGGGAGAGAGAGGAGAGATTATTGTTTGGAGGGGAATCCCCCTCCATAAGGACTTCAGGTTTCAAAGCCTTATTAAAAGTTCTATCAAAGCCCTCCACAACACTATCTCCCACTAACTGTTTTTTGTTGATCCACTCCAACAACAACTTCTCCATATCCTCAGTTGTTTGTGATCTCTGTTTCATTAGCATATTTACCCCTCTCGCAACATCAGCTTCCTTGATTTCTGTTTTCTTTGCCAGGATGGAACCAATTGTTGATGTCGACTTCCTGTACATCCTGGCGAGCTCATTCACACATACAGTGGTCCCTCAATTATCGTCCATAATCCGTTCCTGGAAGTGGGACTATTATCGAAAGAGACGATTTTCGAATCAATTTTCCCATAAGAAATAATGTAAATACAATTAATCCGTTCCTGACACCCAGAAGTATTAAAACAAAAAAATTTTTTACATGAAATATAGATGTAGTACATAAACAATACAATGGCACATGATGAATGAAACATTAACAGAATAACACTTACCTTTATTGGCAATTCTTCTTAGTGTATGGAAGACTGGAGAAGGAGAGAGATTGGATTATTTACTGTTTGGAACGGGAATCCCCTTCCATCAACACCTCAGGTACAAAGTGCTTTTCTGGGGCTACTTCTCTTCTCTGTTTCTTAATGCCACTAGGACCAGCTTGAGTCACTGGAGTCCTGTCTCACAAAAAAACTGTCCAGAGAGCTCTGTTTCTGGCGTCTCTTTAAAACTTCCCTAAAATGGGCCAAGACTGTCGCTGTACAAGTTGCCGATATGGCTTGCAACATCCTTCTCAGGGTGATGTTTCTCCATAAATCTTTCCATCCTACCCCACATTTCAAAAATCTCCTTAATTTCTGAAGAAGGCAACTTCTTCCATCTCCCTTCCTCCTCCTCTGCAGCAAGATTCTGAGCTGCGATCTGTTGCACTTCCTGCTGAAGCTCTTGCAGCTCCTCAGTGGTTAGCTCTTTGTTGTGGTCCTCCACCAACTCTTCCACATCCTCCAAACTCACATCCAACCCCATGGAACTCCCCAATGCCACAGTAGGGTTCACAACTGACATAGGCTCATCAGGGGCTGCCTCAAACCCTTCAAAATCCCTCTTGTGGACACAATCTGGCCACAATTTTCTCCAAGCAGAGTTCAAAGTCCTGGTAGTCACTCCCTCCCAAGCCTTACCTATAAGGCATATGCAATGGAGAATACTGAAGTGTTCCTTCCAAAAATCTTTTAGGGTCAAGTGAGTGTCTGAGGTCACATTAAAGCACCTTTCAAACATTGGTTTGGTGTAAGTTTTTTAAAGTTTGAAATGACTTGCTGGTCCATGGGCTGGAGGAGAGGAGTGGTATTCGGGGACAAGAACTTCACTGTGATGAACCCAAACTCCTTCAGAATTAGGTCATCCAAGTTTGGAGGATGAGCAGGTGCATTGTCCATTACTAGGAGGCACTTGAGATCCAATTTTTTTCCAGGAGGATAATTCTTCACACTAGGGCCAAACACCTCATTGAACCACTTGACGAAAATGTCCCTTGTGACCCATACCTTACTATTAGATCTCCAAAACACACACAATTTACTCTTCATAACATTGTTTTTCTTGAACACCCTGGGATTTTCAGAATGGTACACTAGTAACGGCTTCACTTTGAAATCCCCACTAGCATTAGCACAGAACATGAGCATCAACCTGTCTTTCATAGGCTTGTGTCCTGGCAGTGCCTTTTCTTCCTGAGTAATGTAGGTCCTCTTTGGCATTTTCTTCCAAAAGAGGCCTGTTTCGTCACAATTGAACACTTGTTCAGGTTTCAGTCCTTCAGCCTCTATGTACTCCTTGAATTCCTGCACATATTTTTCAGCCGCTTTTTTGTCAGAACTGGCAGCCTCACCATGCCTTATCACACTGTGTATGCCAGTACGCTTCTTAAATCTTTCAAACCAGCCTTTGCTGGCCTTAAATTCACTCGCATCACCACTAGTTGCAGGCAATTTCCTTACCAAATCGTCATGCAACTGCCTAGCCTTTTCACAAATAAGCGACGTCATTAGACTATCTCCTGCTAATTGTTTCTCGTTTATCCACACCATTAATAACTTCTCAACATCTTCAAGTACTGGTGATCTCATTTTTGTCAGCATATTTACCCCCTTTGCAACAACAGCTTCCTTGATTTCCTTTTTCTTGGCTATGATGGAAGATATGGTTGTACGGGATTTGTTATACATCCTGGCCAGTTCGCCCACACGTACGCCACTTTCATATTGTTCAATGATGTTTTTCTTAAACTCAATCGTATTTCTCACTTTCTTTACCAAAGGCTTGGCACTATGAGCTTTCTTTGGAGCCATGGTAGCTTATTTAGCACTTGCAAGCACTAAAATCAATGGAATATTATGAAATATTTCGTATGAACACATGAGGGGACTGTCGCTCACTGGTGAACAATGGCACACTGGCTGGGAAGGGAGGCCGAGGCAGCTCAGAGCGTGAGTACGCGTCCAGGACGAAAGACGATTAGCGAGTTAACGGACCATTTGCGAGCCATGTTTAGACGAAATAACAGAACTATTTCTGAAATGGACGACTTTCAGGCCGGACAATTATTGCGGGACCACTGTACTCCACTTTCATATTTTGCTACAAGTTCTTTCTTGAATTCTATCGTGTGTCTCACCTTCTTTACCAAAGGGCTGGCATTCTGAACTTTCTTTGGCCCCTTGGTGGCTTATTTCATAGTCACAATCAATAAAAAAGCACAAAAAACAATGGATGAACGCACAGAGTATTGCTAACTCAATGAAAGACAGTCAGACTGAGTCTGGTATGAGTGAGAAGTGGCGTCCCCGGTGGGTGGATGCGTCTGATGTAGACGATTTCCGAGCGGATGTACGAAACCTAGGGGAAAATTTTGCCGAAAAAAGTGCACGAAATCCGAATTGTGCAATTTCCACACCAGACTAGAACCAAGGGTCCACTGTATAACAAACTACATAATTAAGCCAAAAGATACGGCTGTTTTTGTTATTATGGATGAAATTTACTAATATGGCACAGAAACACAATATGCAAAGAGCACTTGGAGTGCTGCATGATGGGTTTTGATGTAACTTTAAGAGAGGGAAGATTAATTTCTCTTGACAGGTCAAGTTTGTGTCCAAAGTAAATAGCTATGGAATGGTCTGGCAGGGTTTATACTTTCACAGAATACATTGAGGCTTTTATGATTTGATAATTCTGTATTTTTTTCATTGTTTTATTTTTAAAGTTTTCATTACACATCCATTTGAATATCATAGAATAATCACATTTTTATTACTCTAAAGCAGTTGGAGTGATTTTTATTAAGCTGTTGTGTCATTAGATCTTGAGATGTTAAATTTTAATGGAAGATTCATTATAATGTATTGCATACAAATTTGTACAACCTGTAAGGATAACCCTTCTCATCTTCCTCCAGAATTGTAGGAGCTAAATACGACGACAACTCTCAGCCTTCAGAAAATCACTTTGAAACTCCTTACGCATTGCTGGACAGCATTAGCCCCCTGTACCGTGAAAGTTTTAGTTCAGCTTTAGCTGCTAAGCTGAATACTTTACTTGGGGAGACTGACAAAGAAGAAATGGAGTCTGTTGATTAATAACTTTAGGTCATTATTGCTGTGTATATAGAACATGTGTGTAAACAATATATTTGTGTTTGAAGTAGCAATACGCTGCAATACGAAATTTTACCCCAGCAGTGTTAGTGTGTGAAAGGTAAAGTGTATTAGATAATTTGAAGAGTAAGAAGTGTGATGTAATAAATTTAATATCAGATAATGAAGGCTTGATAATTTCTGTATCAGGACAGTTAAAAAAAGACAATACAGTATGATATAAGCTTATTATATAAGAATAGTAAATTATGTTTCCTTGCAATATCTGAAACACATTTTAGCTTCTAACTCACAAGCAGGAGAACGGATGGTACAAAAGCCAATAATGTGACCCGACGAAGTTTGGAAAGTGAAGCAGCTGCTTCTTTCACGGGTACCTTACATATACAGGTTAGTGTTTATTGTTACTTATAATTATTAGATCACTCAGTGGATTTTCTATTAATGATTTATTTTTCATTTCTTTTTAAGCAGTTAATTTGTTGACTGCTCAGAGACTAAAAAGAAAAGTAGGTGAGTTCATACCAAAGTTCTTAAAATGTAAACAGTATTTTCATTACAAATATTTTTCATCAGTAAGTCAACATATTTCACCCAGAATACTGTGTTATGGTAGTGATTCACACACTAGTCTCATTGTTATTACACCATTTGTAATGTTAATATTTTTCATTAATGTATTGTCTTTATAGCATTTATGTATTAGGAATAGTAGAAAAGATAGCCAAAGTAAACCTTTTATTGTTATGACGTTTCATCTACAAGAGTTTTGTCAGTTTTTTTATGGGTGACGTTAGCAATAAAAATTCTGCTCTACATATCTTTTTCCACTACTAGCAACCTGTCCTAAAGAAATAGTTGATTTCTCTTGCACAATTTTAAGCAAATTTCTCATTTTTATTTTTAACTTGGGCTGTCTACCATCAAGGTAGCTAGACCCCATAAAAGGAGAAGCACCATCATCACTCACTCCGTAACTATCTAGCCAGGGGTGCATCAACATTACAACTCACATGCCCCTCCAAACTGCAGTATCCCCACCTGTCCTTCAGAGTGCAGGTTGTAAACTTCCCACCTCCAACACTCGAATCTAGCTAATTGGCTTCCCTGAATTTCTTCATATATGTTACCTTGTTCACACTCCAATAGCATGTTAAGTCATAAAAACTACTTGTCTCCATTTCTATCTAAAATATGCCTGTTGGATGCCCAAGTCCTTCATATACAGAACCTTTACCCCTCCCTCCCTCCAACCTTTCCTAGGATAACTCCTACCCTGCCTTCCTTCTACTACAGATTTATACACCCTCTAAGCCATCCTATTTTGCTCCATCCTCTCTACATGTCCAAAACACCTCAATAACCCCCTCCTCAGCCCTCAAGATAATACTTTTAATAACCCTGCACCTCCTACTCTGCAAATTATGAATTCTCCACATAATATTCACACTGCTCATATAACTGCATCTTCAGTGCTTCCAGCCTCCTCTTTGCTGCAACATTTAAAACCCATGCTTCACACCCATGTAAGAGTGTTGGTACCGCTGTATTCCGACACATTTTCCTTTTGCCTCCATAGATGAAGTACTTTGTCTCTGCAGAGGCTTCTATGTATGACCCACCTGTTTTTTGCCCATGTCAGTCAGATGGTTCACCTCATCTTTCATAATCCCATCCACCACCAAGTCCACTCCGAAATAGCTGAACACATTCACCTTCTCCATACACCTGCCTTCCAGTCTTTCATTACCAAGTTTTTTGTTGCTCTCATTACCTTGCTCTTGTCTATATTTGTTATTAATTTTCTTTTATTTAAGTACCCTCTCAAATTTGTCCACCAACCTTTCCAACTTCTCATCAGAATCTCTCTGCAAAAATCAAGTGTGACAACTCCGACTTTGTATCAGATTCTTCATCTTTTAATCCCATACATTTTCCTAACACCCTAGTATTCACTTCTTTTACAACTCCATCTATAAATTTTGTGTGTTAAACAACCATGGTGACATCAAGCAGTCCTGTCTATGGCCTATTTTTACTGGAAAATAGTTTCCGTCTCCTGTGTACCATAACCTAAGCCTCACTATCTTTATAAAAACTTTTAACTGCTTTAAATAACCTACCACCTATTCTATGCACCTTCTGCATCTGCCATATTGCTTCTCTATCCACCCTGTCATACTTCTTTTTTAAATCCATAAATGCAACAAAAACTTCCTTTCCTTTATCTAAATATTGCTCACTACATGCTTCAATGTAAACACTTGGTCTACATATCCCTTACTCTTCCTAAAACCTCCTTGTTCATCTGTGATCCTGCTATCCATCTTACCCTTAGTTATTTGAATAATAACTCTATTATACACTTTACCGGGTGTATTCAACAGGCTTATTGCCCTATATCTCTTATTCTTTTATCCTCCTTTTCTTTATGCAAAATATTATGCACACTGCCAATCCCTAGGTATTTTCCCCCTTTCATACATCATTTGAACAAATGGACCAACCATTCCAAAACTATATCTCCACCAACTTTTAACATTTGTGTCTTGATCCCATCAGTTCCAGCTGCTTTACCTCTTTATATTCTACTCACTGCCTAATGCATCTTCCCCAACAACGACATCTTGCTGTTCCTCACTCCTAAAAGATTTTGTACTTCCCTGCCCACTACATGAAATAACTGCCTCCCACTTAATTAACATTTAACAGCTCAAAATATTCCATCTATCTCCCCAATACCTCCACTTCCCCATCTAATAACCTCCCTATTTTACTTTTAACTGTTAAATTCATTCATTCTCTAGGCTTTCTCAGCTTATTAATCTCAATCAAAAATCTTTTTCCTGTTTTCAGCAAAATTTGTTGACAAAACCTCACCCATCCACTCATTTGCTCTCCCTTTATACCACCTCACTACCCTTTTAACCTCTAATCTCCACGTGATTAAATCAGTTGTATCTGAGAATTAAAGGAGTAGTGGTAATGTTGAATTATTAGTTATGGAAGGAAAAGAGGGACTATAAGAGGGAATAACATCTTGTAGGAGTGAGGAAGAGCCAGTCGTGAGTGCGCAAGGCAGTGGGTAGAATGAAAGGGGGTAAAGCAGCTGGAATTGATGAGATAAAGATAGAAATGTTAAAAGCAGGTGGGGATATAGTTATGGAGTGGTTAGTGCTTTTATTTAATGAATGTATGGAAGAGTGTAAGGTACCTATGTATTGGCTGAGAGCATGCATAGTTCTCTTGTATAAAGGCAAAGGGAACAAAAGAGTGTAAAAATTATAGGGGGATAAGTCTGTTGAGCATACCTTGTAAAGTGTATGGTAGTTATTATCGAAACCATTAAGAGTAAGACAGAGAGCAGGATAGCAGATGAGCAAGGAGGCTTTAGGAAGGGTAGGGGTGTATAGACCAGGTGTTTACAGGAAACATATCGGTGAACTGTATTTAGATAAGGGTAAAGAGGCTTTTGTGGCATTTTATGGAATTGGAAAATGCATATGATAGAGTGGATGGGGGGGGGGGTAATATGGCAGATATTGCAAATGTATGGAATAGGAAGTAGGTTACTAAAAGCAGTGAAGTTTTTATAAGGTTAGTGAGACTCGTGTTTGAGTATGTAGGAGAGAGGGAGATTATTTCCCAGTTAAAGTAGTCCTTAGACAGGGTTGTGTAATGTAACAATGGTTGTTCAATATATTTATAGATGGGGTTGTAAGAGAAGTGAATACTCGGGTGTTGACAAGAGATGTGGGGTTAAAAGATGAAGAATCCAACACAAAGTGGGAGTTGTCACAGTTGCTCTTTTCTGATGACACTGTACTTTTGGGAGATTCTGAAGAGAAGTTGCAGAGGTTGGTGGATGAGTTTTGTAGGGTGTGTAAAAGAAGGAAATTAAAAGTGAATATATGAAAATGATAATGTTTATTACCTTGCAAAGCTTACAATGTGTGGTTTACATATTATAAAATATTAATTACAAAGAAGGCCTCTAGCATGCCTAGGCATTTTGGGCAGACTAATCCTAATTCTTACTCTATATTGACAGTACCTATTAATATACTTTTTCTAAGAAAAATAGAACGAATTTTAACATACTGTAATGACAGTAAAGGCAATAAACACTTTTGGATTACAAACAGAAAATGGGAACCCAATGAGTGCACATTTATATAAACAGTCAGTCACTCTGAAATTCCATTGTCAGTCATACATCCAAATGTCTTCGCCACTTTAAAATACAGTAAACCCATGATTTATGGGGGCTTCGATTTAAAGGACCTTGAAAATATGGGACAATTTCCAATTGATTCGTAAACAACAAAGTCCATTGAATGCAAAATTCTGTTATTGTTATGATCACCCCAAAACAATCTTCTCTCTCTTCACCATAGCATTACTGGCCACCTACTCTTCCCTTTTAATCCATTAAATGGAGGGTTTACTGTACAGTTCTTACTTTGATTAGGAAGTTGGCCTGCACTCCAACTAAATTACAAATACAGCCTCTCCTCACTTACTGATGTACTCGTTTATTGACAACTTGGAGTTACGACAGGCTCTCTGACAAGTTGTTGTTGTATACTGTACGAGAAGTTGGGTCATGAACGGGCAGTGCAGCGCCTCAGCATCGAGCATCTCGATCTCCTTCCTACAGCCACTCGGTACACTAGCTTTCACAGTCTCCAAGACTACATATTTGTACAAATTTGTACTTTATTGTGCATTCCATAGTAGAAGATAGAGTTAGAAGTGCAGCAGCACTTGGAAGAGAAAAACAAAGGAAAATGGAAGAAGTACAAAAGAAGTTCACAGTAAAGGGGTTAGCTGGTGTGTTCTTCTGTGTGTTTACATTCTTGGTGTATCATGGCAGCTTAAGAAATTATTAAACTCAGTGATAATACAATCATCATAATAATAATAATAATAATAATAATAATAATAATAATAATAATAATAAATAATAGTGAGGCTCAGGTTAGAGTGTGTAGAAGAGAGGGAGACTACTTCCCGGTAAAAGTAGGTCTTAGACAGGGATGTGTAATGTCACCATGGTTGTTTAATATATTTATAGATGGGGTTGTAAAAGAAGTAAATGCTAGGGTGTTCAGGAGAGGGGTGGGATTAAATTATGGGGAATTAAATACAAAATCGGAATTGACAGTTACTTTTTGCTGATGATACTGTGCTTATGGGAGATTCTAAAGAAAAATTGCAAAGGTTAGTGGATGAGTTTGGGAAGTGTGTGTAAAGGTAGAAAGTTGAAAGTGAACAGAAAAGAGTAAGGTGATGAGGGTATCAAATGATTTAGATAAAGAAAAATTGGATGTCAAATTGGAGAGGAGGAATATGGAAGTGAATGTTTTCAAATACAGTGGACCCCCGCA